CGCCGTCTGCCGCCTGCACGGGGGGGTGGGGTGGGGAACAGCACTGTCAGGCACCCGACACTGCAGGGCCACCGGCAGGGCCCCAGCTCCCCCCGCCCCCTGCGAGAGGAGGCCAGCCGCGGGCCTCCAGGCGCAGAACCTGTCTGCCTCTCTGCGCTCGATTTACGCCCGGGGCCCTGGAGTCTGGAGAGTGGGCTGGGATCGTTTGTTATTGTTTTGTACCCCGGGGGCGCTAGGAGGGAACTCTGCCCGCTACCCACCTGCACGCCCGGACATTGTGGCTTTGCCAACAATAAAGATTGTTTCTTGGACTAGCAAAAGCTGGGTGTTGGTGTAACTGACTGGGCCCTGCTGACAGCAGGGTCACTGGGGTCAGCGGGTGGCCGGGCTGGATGTGCGCTGCCAGCTCCTCTGCCTGGACGGGGTCTGTCTCGTCCAGTTTTCACAGGCCCTCTCTGGAACGCTTTTCCAGGACGCGATCATTTATTTCGCCGTTTGCGGGTTGATTTGAAATGGATCAACAAAAACAGAGCTGGAGGGGAACCTCCAGCCCTCTTGGATACTGGAAACCTGACAGTTTAGGCTGGAATGGGGGGAGGTAGGACAGTGTAGGAGGTGTGTGTGTGTGTGTGTGTGTGTGTGTGTGTGGTGGGGCAGGTGAAAGAACCCCAGCGAGATCGAGAAGTGAAACAAAACACACAGCGAGTTGGAGGGGCTCAGGAGACACAGGGCGGGGGAGAGAAGGAAAGAAAAGAGCAGCTAGTTGAAAAGGAAGGGAGGAGATAAAACCTGTGAAGGAGGGGGAGGAGAAGCCCTGGGGGATGAACAGGTAGAGGGAAGCACGGGCAAGTGGAGAAAGCTAGGCTTTGGCACGGCCCTGGCAGGTGCAAGGTGGACCGGGCTGGGCCTCTCTCACCGCCACTTGGTCCTCCGGTTTTGGAACCAGGTCTTGACCTGCGCGTCCGTCATTTTGAGGGACTTGGCGAGCGCCGCCCTCTCGGCGGAAGCCAGGTACTTCTGGCGGTGGAATCGCTTTTCCAGCTCGCAGATCTGCACCCGGGAAAAGGACGTGCGCGGCTTCTTACGCTTGGGCGGCGTCCGATTCTGGTATGGGTGGCCGATGCGCCGGGTCACGGTGAAGGGCGTGAGCGCGGCGGCCGCTGCGGAGACACAGGAGGCCCCCTGAAGCCCAGCCCAGCTCCGCTACCTTTCAGGCCTCATGTGGACCCTATGGAGCCCCGTGGGACCCAGAGCGCTCCGTTATTTCTCTCTTTCCTTGTGTCCCCAGCGGCACCAAACCGGTCGGGAAACGCCCCCTCCCCCTTCCTCCTTCCTGGGGCGCGGGGTTATTTTCCCGCAACTCTCGGATTACCCTCCCCTCCAAGGCTACCCGGCACTTTGGGAGCAGAGGCCTCCACCGAGCTCATGCCTCTGGAATCGTTTCTGGGAGTGGAGCGCATAGGGCGCGGCGCCTCTGGCCCCGGGAGGGCCGAGGCCTGGCGCCTCCTCGCTTGCTTTGCTCACCTGTGAAGCGGTCTTTCACAAAGCGGCGGCTGCTCTCCATCCAGGGGAAATTGAGGCCGCCCAGGCTGGACACCGTGGGCACGGAGGGCATGGCGGGCAGAGCGCTTGGTAGAGGCGGTGGCACAGCCCCGGGCAGTGGCCTGTGCGCTGGCACCCGAATCACACCGGCGGGAGCTAGGCTCAGGTTGACACTGTAAGATCCCGCG